GGAGGGTGGCACCGCGGGAGGCGGGACCTCAGCCCGCCCCAGCCTCTCCCTGCCCCGCCCCCTCCAGGCCGGCGCCCATCCTTCCTGCCCCCGCCTGCCGACCAGCGCCCGTCCTTGCCCCATCCCGGTCCCCTAGTACCTAGCAACCCACTAAGGAGGAGTCAGACCCACCACTCAGGGCAGGAAACCCAGGCTCGGATGGCAACCCCATGTGGGGGCAGGGAGGGTGGGATCTAACCACTGCCCTTCCTGGTTCCGTGCCATGGGAGCTTCTCCCCATTCTGCAGATGAGGAAACCGAGGTTAGCACCAGGGAGGGATTTTGCATCATAATCAGTCCCCGCTATCACCCCTATTCCACCCCAGGATTTCATTTCATCCCCCTGCCCCCAAGCCTGGGAATATTTCCCATTGCTCAATCAGGGAAACTAAGGCCTAGAAGGGGTTAGTTTGCCTCCACAGTCACAGAACAGCACCTCCCTCCAGAAAGCAGCATCTACCCAGACCGACCCATGAGTGTGCTCCAACATCGCTCACACCCTTGGGGAAACTGAAGCAGACACGTCTGATGGAAACCTATAGGGCAGGTCTCCTGCCATCCAGCTGTGGGCAGGCAACTTAAGCCAGAGAACTCCTCTTTACCCTACAAGACCCAGTTCCAAATGCCCCTGCTTGAAAAATATTCCTGGCTTGTCACCCAGGAGGCAGAACGTCCCCCTACTCCATTTAAGTTTCCCCTGCCTACATTAACTCCATCACATGCTATCATCCTTTTGTTCCTTTATTTGCTTTATTATTTAGCGGCTATCCCCTGCCCACCCCCCACCCCGCATCTCTGGGAAGCAGGGGTGGGTCTGGCTTATTCACCACTGTCTCTTGCACATGGCAGGCACTCTATAATCGCTCAGACAAGGGCACTTAGTTACATCACCTGCCACTGCTTCCGAATCTTCTGCGACTCCCCACTACCTGCCAACCTCCCAGCCTCCCCTTGTTCTCTGGGCTTTTCCACGGCAAATGAACTGGGGTTCCTCTTGTGCCCTGGCCTGCCGCAGGTGCTCACTGAACACTGGCCAGGTAAGGGGCCTGCAGTGTCCTGCAGGGGGCTCTCCTCCCTGGAGCAGGGGTGGAAGACCAGGCTCCCCTCATGACCCCTCAGGGTGCGGGGCCACAGCTCCACAGGGAGCTTTCCAGCTTGAATCAATGAGTCTACATTCGGGTGATTTTTTTCACACACAAACCCATCTCCTTCTGGAGCCAGTGTTGAGAGAGGCTGGAAAAAAAAAAACATTACATGGATAAAAATGCCAAGAGGCAGCCAGCAGTATTGACTGAATTTTGAGATGACTAACGAGGGCCAAGTGGCTGGGTTCCAGGTGACAAGGCCACCTCATCCAGCCATCTGGCCAGGCATCCCAAGACAGGGAGCAGGAAGGAACTGGATTCCAGCCCCCGCCCTGCCTGAAGCCAGTGTTATACCAGGGACATGCCCCCTTCCCTCCCTGCCCCCATTGTCCTGGGTGAGGCAGCAGGTTACAAAGTGTTCTCAGGGACCCCAGGGCCTCATCTCACCCTGGGGTAAGGTCCCCATGCCAGCATGAGTCCTCAGAAGTAGGGACCCATCCTGGGTGGGTACACTTCCTCACCCTAATATGGCCTTCAGCAGACAGCCAACACTGTCATGCACTGGTTCTGGGAGGCAGCTGAGAAGCAGACAGGGCTTCGGCCCTCCCAGGACTCACACGGAGCCCCGCTGAACCTGCCAGCCCCCCAGCCCTGCTGGTACCCCCCCCCCTTACCAGTACTTCCCTATCAGGGCCAGTGATGAAGGCCCCGGCTGGAATCTAGAACTGGCTGCACTTGCGTGATTGGGGTGGATTCCTGGCCACTGCTCCTCGGTTCTCCATCTTTACAACGGCAAGGGTTGTAGCTTTTAACCTCCCAGCTACCATGCAGATTAAACAAGGAGTCACAGGAAAGGCTTTTTTCTTAATTACGGTAAAATACACATAACGTAAGATTCACCAGTTTAACCATTTGTAAGTGCACCTCAATGGCATTATGCACTTTCTTCTTGCTGTGTGACCCTCCTCACCATCATCTCCAGGACTTTCTCATCTTCCCAAACTGAATCTCTGTCTCCACGAAACACCGACTCCCCGCTGCTCCCCCAGCACTGGCCCCACCGCCTCCTTCCTGTCTCTATGACACAGATTTCTCCGTGGTCCTCCTGTAAAATCAGACAGTATTTATCCTCTGTGGCTGGTTCTCACCGAGCACTGTGTTCTTGAAGTCTGTCCACGTGGTAGCGAGTGTCAGTGCGTTTCTCTTTTTCCTGGCTGAATAAAACCTGCTGTTGAGGACAGACCACGTGGTGTTTACCCATCACCTGTCCATGGACACTTGGGTTGCTTCTGCCTTTTGGCTGTTGTGAATCGGTTGCTGAGGCAACAGGCGTACAAACATCTCTTGCTTTTCCTTCTTTGGGGTGTGTACCCAGGGGCAGGACTGCTGGAGCATATACTGATTCCACCTGTAATTTCTTGAAGACCCTGCAGACTACTTGCCACAGAAGCAGCGCCTTTTCCTGTTCCCGCCAGCCGTGTGAGAGGGCTGAACACCTCTCTCTACCTACTCCCGACACTTGTTTTGTCTTTTGAGATAACAGCTGTCCTGGTGGGTTTGAGGTGCAGCTCTCTATGGTCTACACATACAAGCAGCACATGGCTGTCATCTGTGAACACTGGGTGCTGTGGGTGCATCTGCCCCTCTGCCAGTGATGCCTCAGGACTCAGA